CCACGCACTCACGCACTCACGCACGCACGCACGCACTCACGCACGCACGCACGCACGCACGCACAGACACACACGCACGCACGCACGCACGCACGCACGCACGCGCGCGCGCGCACGCGCGCACGCACGCGCGGCGCACGCGCGCGCGCACGCGCGCGCACGCACGCACGCACGCACGCACGCACCCACGCACCCACGCACGCACGCACGCACGCACACACACACGCACGCACGCACGCACGCACGCACGCACGCACGCACGCACGCCCCCCACACACACACACACACAGACACACGCAGACACACACAGACACACGCACACACACAGGGCAGCGCGTCGTGGCCCCACAGGGAGCTCCACCGACGGCCCCAGTGGGGGTGCCCGCATGCGGTTCCCCCACCCAGGGCAGCGCTTCGTGGCCCCATAGGGAGCTCCACCGAAGGCCCCACTGGGGGTGGGGGCTCGCATGCGGTTTCCCCACCCAGGGCAGCGCTTCGTGGCCCCATAGGGAGCTCCACAGAAGGCTCCAGTGGAGGGGGTCGCATGCGGTTCCCCAACCCAGGGCAGCGTTTCGTGGCCCCGTAAGTAGCTTCACCGAAGGCCCCAGTGGAGGGGGGTCGCATGCGGTTCCCCCACCTAGGGCAGCGTTTCGTGGCCCCATAGTTGGCCCCACCGAAGGCCCCACTGGGAGTGTTCGCATGCGGTTCCCCCACCCAGGGCAGCGCTTCGTGGCCCCATAGGGGGCTCCACCGGAGGCCCCAGTGCGGGTGGGGTGGGGTGTGTGTGTGTGTGTGTGTGTGTGTGTGTGTGTGTGTGTGTGTGTGTGTGTGTGTGTGTGTGTGTGTGTGTGTGTGTGTGTGTGTGTGTGTGTGTGTGTGTGTGTGTGTGTGTGTGTGTGTGTGTGTGTGTGTGTGTGTGTGTGGGGTGTTCGCATGCGCTTCCCCCGCCCAGGGCAGCGCTTCGTGGCCTCATAGGGAGCTCCACCGAAGGCCCAAGTGTGGGGGGGTGCATGCGGTTCCCCCACCCAGGGCAGCGTTTCGTTGCCCGATAGCGAGCTCCACCGAAGGCCCCAGTGGGGGTGTTCGCACGCGGTTCCCCCACCCAGGGCAGCGCTTCGCGGCCCCATAGGGAGCTCCACCGAAGGCCCAAGTGGGGGGGGTCGCATGCGGTTCCCCCACCCAGGGCAGCGCTTCGTGGCCCCATAGGGAGCTCCACCGAAGGCCCCAGCGGGGGTGTTCGCATGCGCTTCCCCCGCCCAGGGCAGCGTTTCGCGGCCCCATATTGGGGGCTCCACCGAATGCGTTGCTCACAAAGACGGTACTCACAACTGCATATGGTTGGGCCCTTCGCCAAGCTATTTTCTGTCAGCTCGCATGTTCAGAGCTGCGTTTCCTTCGACATTCCAGACGCCGAGCTCGCCAGCGCATCCGCGGATGTGGCTGGCATCCTGCGGGGCGCCATCCGCGCCCTCCAACTGCCATGGAATATTCCAGTGGAGGTGATCTCGGACTGCCTTGCCTGCGATTGTGCGCACCGCCTCAGGTCTTTCCTAGTTTGACAGCCTGCCCGCCATCGTTGCGCAGGTTTTTCAGTCGGTCAAGAGGGTGCGACTGATCGCGGTCACGCATGCGGGGGGGCATCAAGGCTCTCCTCGGAATGATCTTTGCGATCGCATGGCTAAACGCGCTAGAGAAGTCGCACCAACTCCCCAATATAGTATTAATATCCTAAGCCCTGCTGAAGGATGGGGCCGGACTCAACTACGAGATCTTGCCGACCCTGGTCGCGCAGCATGCCCTCCAGTCTCGGCAAAAGGGTTCCACGCTTAACGCCAGCGACGACCATGTGCCCCCACGCAAATGGCGGCTAAGAAAGATGCGTCACGGACCTGCGAGCCGGCACTTCGAGTGGCAGTTTTCAACGCTCAGAGAGACCCTCTTTGTGATCACCCTGAAGATGCATCCCTGGCTCAACCTCACCGCCCACAGCTGCTACGCGCCCAACTCCAAGAAGCTCAAGTTATTGTTGGATGCCAAGACTCACCAGCTTCATCTACACCGACAACCATGGACATGTTTCTTATCACATATCGGCACTGGGGCCGGAGAAGAAGTTGGGTTGTGGTCTCTTGCGGAACCTTCAACTACCATGCAGCATAGCGCCCAAAGTAGATATTACAATTGTTAGAACTGATTTTCGCATTCTTCACTCATCATCCGCGGCTGCTGATTGTCAAGCTGCAGATTGTCCAGCGCTGCAAGTACATGAACGTGGCCCATGCACCAGACAGGAACAACAAAGAAGCGGACTACACGACGTGGCCAGTTTGAAGAATTGTCACGTAAATTGCCGCCACCACTGATACTTGGAGACCTCAACGTCTATCTGGGACGCACCACCTCTTGCTCTGCACTTTGACAGTGTCCTTGCGTTGGTGGCTTTCACCCGAGCTATTGCAGCCCTGAAGTTGACTACCCGACTGGTCACTGTCTTCGTATGTATGCGAACGAGCATCGCGTCTACATCGTGGGCGCTTACAAGGAGCATACAGGAGGCCACGCATTCGTGCACAGCTCTGGTAGCCAGCACCGAAACGACCACATCGTCACGAACTCATACTTCCACTCTGCATGCACCGACATCAAGGTAAACTACCATGTCGACTCCTACGGTGGACGAGACGATCACCTTCCAGTATACGCCGTCTTCGAGGCCACTCATTCGCGCGCGCCCGTCCTGACCCAAGGCAAGTTGCGCTTTGGCCAGAACAAATTTACTGAACAGGAACCACAGTTCAAGTTCAAGAACATTTGAGAAAAAGGCTGAAATCCCAGCATGGACGATGATTATCAACCAGCACCAGCAATTCACGGATGGGTTCGTCCGTGACGCAGTAGCCCCAAGCTTCAAGGCTGACAGGTGCGCCGCCATCCGTCCATACATCTCCACAGGCACCATGGAATTAGTGTGACTCCGTCGTTGCGTTTGCCGTGGGCTACGCCGACCGCCAGACCTCGTGGATCAACAACCGCGATGGACACAACGACTTCACTACTCTTCGCTCTTCGGACAAGATCTTGCAGCCAAGTGCCGACAGGCCGCGGCATCTCGCAGCCCATCGCCGCAGACTGGCAATCAAAACCAATGTCGCAGACGAGCGCATGATTGACGACGACTTTGTTTCCGAGCTTCTGGTATTCATGGCCACCGCCGACGAGCTGGTCTTTGTTTTACTTGTCATGGTCGCACTCGTCACCATGAACGGGTCGGCGGAGAGATGGAGGCAGCAGTTCAGGCTGGAGATACACATATGGAATGGAACCATTTGGAAGCCTTAATGCGCTATGGGGGCCGACCTGGCCGCCAATATCGTCATCCCCACCTCCTTCAACCCAGCGGAGAGCTTGTCCAGTCGGCCGGCGAAGAGGACAAGCTTATCGTCGAGCACATTGCAGTTACCGAGGACGCCGAGATAACGACGGATTTCGTGCTCGAAGGTTTTTTACATATCCAGGCTACACCACAACTTGCTTGGCACCACCAGTGCAGTTGATCCCCACTTCTGGCCAAGTGGCCAGACTCTTCCTTCAAGCCAAACGTCGGAAAGCCTTTGGTAAATATTGCATGTCCAGAGATCTGCTAGGAAGGTTCTCTGAAGCACCAGGGGAGCAATACGGTCCAATTCTCAGCAAAGCCAGCGTCCATCACCAAGGGCCTCTGGAGTGGGAGCATGGGGTTGCTCGCACCATTCAAAGGCGTTGGTTCCCCAGCAGTATTGGAGCACTACCAATCAGTCCTGTTGAACAGCCAGATCAGCAAGTGCTGGCACGGGTTCCTACGCGACCAGCTGGCAGAATATGTTCAGATTCTTCTTCGCGATACTCAAGCGGGCGGTCTTGCCCACCATGCTCCAGAACAGCTGCTTTAGGTTGTCTCCAGCTTCCTGCAGGTATGCCGCCACCGCCGACTTAGCGCCATGCTATTATTCGTGGACATGCGGGCTGCGTTCTATTCGGTTGTACGGTCACTGGTATTACCATTGGCCAGCGATGACGACAGTAGCGTCGTGCTTCGCAATCACGATATCCCACCCCTGCTGCTGCAGGTGTTCTCATTCGTACTTAGTCAGCCTGGAGCCTTCAGTTCATTGAGCGACTGACCCCAGCTCCTGGCCTGGCTGATTGAGAGTCGTCGCTGCACCCATGTCGGAGTACCTCGCACAGGCCTTCTCGCACGATCGCGACGTGGTACACGTCCAGGCAGTTCTCTGGCGGACGCAGTGTTTAACACATCGTTCGCTAAGCCACTTCAAGTTGCATCAGATGGTATTCAGGCTCTTGGCATTGGCTCAGCACTGGATGTACCAGACGGCGATGGAGTGCTCTCCAAGGACACGTGTGCACCAGATATCGCGGACATCTCCTCCGTGGACGGCGGGTTGTTGCTGGCAGCGCCGACGGGTGCCAACGCAGTGATCGAGGCAGGTGGGCAGATCATTGATATCCTCGACCGCAGCATGATGATTCACGAGTTCGCGTTCAATTTCAAGAGGCACAAATCGGCTACGACGATTGCTCCTGGTGGCGATGGTGCAGCCATTCTTCCGAGACGGCTTGGGGGATCGGACGACGTGAAGATCTGATCGCAAAAAAAAAAAAAAAAAAGAGGCTTGGATCTGCAGAACGCACAAATACTTAGGATCCATGCTCGACACCACGTCTATTGGACCTCGACTTGCTGAGGCCGTTCGGACACAGGGAGGCGCGTTGGATCCCGTCGGCGCATGCGCACTCGGCTACATCGCATGAGTCAAACGGCCAAGCTGGACCGAGCCGACGTGCTCGCAAACGCTCACCTCTTATATTTGCCCGAGGCATGACAGGAGCTCTCGAACCCCCAGGCACGTGCTTTGGAGACACTCGGCTGATAGCTTACAGGGTGGCCCTAAGGCGCCCCCCCCCCCCCCACCACCACCACCACCACCACTCTGAGAGCAAAACCTTTTACGTGGACAATGAAATACTGGTGATGGCGAACCGAGTGCCGATTCAAGATGTCAACAGACGTCGTCGATTCTTGTATGTTGTATCGCTCTGTACCCATACACCTGCAGTACTTTTCTTCTTCGTGCATTTGCTGCAGCACGTCGATGGGGCTTTGCCTACGCTGTCATCCGATGGTTTCCATTGGCTGGTGGTCAATGGTTATCAGGCAGATGGACGAGATTGGATTTTGCGAGGATGGTTTTTGTAGGCCCCCCAATCTGCTAGACACTAACTGGCCCGAGTTAAGAGAATATGGCAGCGCTGGGTAGAGCGTGAACTTGGTCATTTACGTGCAGTGACGTGGACGCGTCAGATTGAGTCTTTGGTTGGTCACACAACGAGCCGTGCTGCTCAAGCTATTCTGTATGTTTGGCTACGAATGTGGATATACATTTAAGGATAAGGCAGCACCTCGGCGTCGCCGACTTTGACATGATCATATACACCTGGCTCAACGGGCATCATGGGCCCCCCCTGTCCAGCGTATGGGATTACCTTTGGCGACCGCTCTCCATTGGTCAATCACCAACGGAAAGTGGGGAACGCGTGCGTTTTCTGAACCCAACCAGATTGCACGTTGCTCGACCGCGAACGTGCTATGGAGCTGAGGGGGCTGGACCTGACAGAAGAGCAAGACAGAGCTCGCATCGGGTACCATCGCCTGGAGGTCTTTCGTCGTGCTAGAAGGCCTGAGGCTGGCGAAGGACCAGGTGGCTTACGCCACTTGGGAGGACGAGGCGAGCCCATCTGTTGATGTAGCGATTGTGAACCGCGAGTTTGTGAGTGTCCCACGTGTTGCAGCGTGCACTGCAACTGCGGTGGTATGTGGTTTTTTCCCGGAGGAACAGGCTGACGCGACTTCCAAGCGGGTCCAGCTCTATGCCAAATCGGAGGTTTGTGTTCGTGCGGCTTCGGGAAGCACTGACGATAAGGACGTGGATATCTCTGATACCTTGGCGATGGAATTACTAAGTGCTGCGCAGGCATGAGGAGCTGATGCCAGTCTTTTGAAGGCCCAACTGCGTACTTGGCGACGGTCTCAGCCTCGGCTCAGAATCTCCGAGCACGACAAGTACCACCCTAAGAAGTGCAGTCGAGATCTTGGGTGCACGTGCCCTCGTGCCGCAACTCCAGAAGAAGGTGCTTCCAGGCACTGCTGAGCTTCGTGGAATTTCGTTGGTTTTGGCGATTTCACGACGCGCTGTCATCCCTGCTGTTGCGGTGCTTCCCCGTCCCCGGGCTTCAATGGCAGCCGCCGTACCTTGCGTGCAGGCTGCTTTCAAACGTGTTTTTTTTTCGCTCTGAGCAGATGCCACAACCGTGGTCTTCGGTGCTATGGAGCGTTCACTCTGTCATGCCCACGGTCAGTGATACTGATTTGGAGAGAGGCTTCGAGCGGCCCTTGCGCAGAATTGCTCTTCGAGCTGAAGTTGTGCGACGTGCTAGATAGTTCGTTTTGTCGCGCGAGCTGGTCTCAGCCCGCGCGGGGAGGTGGGGGGGGGAGGGGGGCTTGGGTGGCGGAAGTGTCTGGGGATGAAACAAACCAGAGAGAACTCCACAAGGGCCGGCGACCCGGCGGCGACCCGGCGACCCGGCGACCCGGCGACCCGGCGTCCCGGCGACCCGGCGACCCGGCCTCCCGGCGACCGGCGACCCGGCCTCCCGGCGACCCATGCAGCGACCCGGCGACCCGGCGACCCGGCGACCCGGCGACCCGGCGCCCCGGCGCCCCGGCGACCCGGCGTCCCAGCGTCCCGGCGACCCCGCATCCCGGCGACCCGGCGACCCGGCGACCCGGCGACCCGGCATCCCGGCGACCCGGCGACCGGGCGACCCGGCGACCCGGCGACCCGGCGACCCGGCGACGCGGCCACACAGCAACCCGGCGACCCGGCGACCCGACGACCCGGCAACCTGGCATCCTGGCAACCCGGCAACCCTGCGACCCGGCGACCCGGCGATCCGGCGATCCGGCGATCCGGCGACCCGGCGACCTGGCGACCCGGCGACCCGGCGACCTGGCGACCCGGCAACCTGGCGACCCGGCCTCCCGGCGACCCGCGGCGACCCGGCGACCCGGGTCCCGGCATCCCGGCGACCCGGCGACCCGGCGATCCGGCGATCAGGCGATCCGGCGACCCGGCGACCCGGCGACCCGGCGACCCGGCGACCCGGCGACCCGGCGACGCGGCGTCCCGGCGCCCTGGCGACCCGGCGACCTGGCGACCCGGCGACGCGGCGACCCGGCGACCCGGCGACCCGGCGACCTGGCGACCCGGCATCCGAGCGACCCGGCGACCCGGCGATCCTGCGATCCGGCGATACGGGCAGGATTGGCATTCGAAGCGGGGCCTGTCTGCAACAGAGTGATGACCCCCACCGTGTCCTCGTGAGCTTCTCTCACAATCTGCCGCAAGTCCTTCATGGTGAGAACGGCTGAGAAATGCCGATCAGGAAACGCAGAATGCCCGCGGTGGTGTCGGACTTCTGCGCCTGGTCGTACATTTTTTCGACGTGCATCGTGACCGCGCCGCACAAATGCGGGAAAACGATTCTGGGCATTCCCAGGATGGTTCTTGTACATGTCATGATATTGAATTTGGTTGAGGTCGTCGATGCCGCCGCCTGGGCCGTTGTCGAAGGTCTGGGGTGGCCATGTTTTTCCCTGGTGTAGCACAAGAAATGCGGTCTCCCCTTGCGCCTGCGTGAAGTTCCCGAGGCCGATGAACGTCCCTTTGTTGAAGATGGTGTCTTTAGCATGTTCTTTTT